GAGGCTGCAACTGTCACGACTACGATCGGTGCTCCTGTTGAGCTTACTACTATCACGTCCCCTTTCCCGGTCAGCACAGCTGCTGTGACCGATGAGGTTGCTGTCACTACTGCAGCTCCTGTGACTGGCGAGTGATCATCAGCACGGCAGCTGGGGAAGCTCCCGGTAGAGACAAGGATGATTCTGATGCTACCACCCCGGTCGCTACTGAGACTGCGGCTGGCACTACTACGATCGATGCTCCTGTCGAGCCTACAACTGCTATCACGACCCCTCAACCGGTCAGCACAGCTGCTGTGACCGATGAGATTGTTGCTACTACTGCAGCCCCTGTGACTGGCGAGGTCACCATCACGACGGCAGCTGGGGAAGCTCCCGGTAGAGACAAGGATGATTCTGATGCCACCAACCCGGTTGCTACTGAGACTGCGGCTGTCACTACTACGATCGATGCTCCTGTTGAGCCTACTACTCCCACGTCCCCTCTACCGGTCAGCACAGCTGCTGTGACCGATGAGGTTGTTGCTACTACTGTGGAGACGACCGCTTCCGAGACTACTCTCAGTCCGATTGTGTAGCCGATTTAGGGTAATGAAGCTTTGTAATGCCCGGTGAGCGCATTTAATACAATCCGGGCCACTGCATGATGTCTTGATAATGAGTGTATAAGTGTTCATCTGTCCAAGTTGTGTTGGAAACGTTGCGTCGTAACATCATGAAAGCATCGACGCTATACCCCAATACGAAACCTATTGACAGTGCATCAGAGATATCTGAGTGGTTCCGAGATTGATGAGCGAGGGCGGGCAAGCCGCACCACAATGATCCTCTTACCAACTAGCATGAGCCCATGTTGGTTCTCCAGTGTCTGAACTCCGATTGCTGATATGCTGACAATTCTGTTGATAGTGAGTTGAAATACAGAGGTTGGGTATCCTAGAACCTCTGATGTATCCTTGACAGCTCAATGTGTTCTTATCAAGCTTCACATGTGTGACATCGACCAAAATCAGGGTAGGTGCAATCGGAGGGCAAGCTTGTTACTCGCGTAGCTGGATTATAGGGATAAATCCAACTGTGGTGCTGTGTAGATG